GATGCCAAGATGTACTTCCCATTGGGAGAGAATTTCACAAATGCCACTGGTGGGTTATCATCATCCACAAGGGTTTTCACACACTGACCATTTGCGGTTTCCCAAATTCGTACCAAACCATCATAAGAGCTTGAGCATAGAAGTGTACCATCCCGGTTGAAGGAAACAGCCGATACAGGATCAGCGTGGGCTGGGAGAACTTTTGTGCAGAGCCCCGTACGCAAGTCCCAGATCCTAAGAAAGAAGAAACTTGCAAAATTAAAATATGTCGATATCATTTAAAAGCTTACCTGACTGTCTCATCGAAAGATCCAGAAGCTACCATGGTGCATTGTGGATTGTAAGCGCAACAAAATACATAATTTGTATGTCCTTTCAGCGTTTTTATGCATTTCCCTGTCTCTACCTCCCAGATTCGCACTGTCTTGTCGTCCGAAGCTGAGGCAAGAAATAATGAATTTGGACTCCAAGCTACATCGTTTATTCCAATCTTATGTCCATTCAATGTCTGCATTGGCTTCCCATCCTTCACAAACCACACCCGTACTGTAGTGTCTGCAGATGCGGAGGCAAGATACATCCCACAAGGAGAGAATTTTAACGACGCTACAGACTTCTGATGGCCATTTAGCGTCATAAGGAGGGAATAATTTGGTAGTCCAGGCTGAGCAGGTGGCTGTTGCTGCATCGGGGTTGGAGCCACTTGTGCAGTTGGTTTCGAAATGTTTCCTTCTCCCGTGTTGGATGGAGGCGCTGCTCCAGTAACCACTTCGGAGCGTGCAGCTTCAGTCGTTTTTGGATCGGTATTGGACGAATTGGCACTATCTATTTCCATTTCCATAACCTAAAAAAGAAAACCCAAGAATTAAAAATGTGCAAATATACAAACAAAATCAAAGTGTATTTCATAAAAACTAACCCGGAAACGCAACCGTTTCGCTACTCAATATCCTCTCGTTGAATTGACAAATTGTGGCTGAATGCCGCCAAACTATGACATCAACTTTACAAAAAGTAGATCTTTTTATGAAATTGAGATAAATAGGGCGCTGTAACCCTCATAACATAACAAATTCTCATAAATAGCTTTTATTCGAGGTAGAATGCGATCATAAATAATTTTAACTGTCAAAATAATAGTAAGTCCAAGTAACAAGACGAAAACTGTACAAGTCGCATTATTGCGTCTTTCTTTTCTTCGCCGCTGGCCTTTCGAAGATTGGTCGGACTCCAGCTAAACACAAAATGGTAAAATTTATCTTCTCCA